TTGCGCTGAATCTGTTTTTATGTCTACATTTTGCGAAAAGTTCACTTCTTTTGTTTAATGTCGTCTCCTTCGAGGATTTAAGAATTGCCATTTTTTCCTCCAGGCACAGGTTGCATGACCGTCCGCCCGCTGAGTAAGCCGGAACGCATTTGATGGTTGTCCACTTGATGTTGAATGGTTTGTTTAGTATTTTTAGGTTCCATGTGTGCTTTGATAGTTCGGTTTCGGATTCGTAGGCTGGGTTGTTTATGGATTTCTTGTGATTGTAGTATCTGGTCTTGAACGTACCAGCTGTGACACCGATGTAGTTCTTCGACTCAGGAGGATTTGTAGTTGTAATCTCGGCATTATAGACGAGGCTTTCAGTTAGGCATTTACCAAGGAGTGGGCATTCATTCTTGATGCGGCAGTTGCAATTTGTACGATCTGACGAGGTTTTGTTCGATTTCATGATGTTTCGGTTGTGGCTGGAAATAACACTTTTTACGTTTGGCATGCAGGAGTAGCTCACTTTGACTGAATTGCGGTTAAATATCTTGTGAAGCTTTGAGGATTTTGAAAAGTGTTTATCCATTGTGAAGTAGCTGACTGGCAAGTGAGTGTCTTCTTTTGGCAAGTGAGTGTTTATTATTTATCATTTATAGACTTTCCTCTCGGGGAATTGGGCGAAAAAAATTGCCAAGGCACGGAAATATGCAATCAATATCTATATAGCTATATCATTATCATAATTCATTGGCGGACGTACTCTATGAAGTAACTCGAGTCATACGCACCATGAATATATGCAACAATTCGCCATTTTCAGTAATTTTTGCTTAATTGATAACATTAATTTCAACTAACAATTCTTAGTAAAATTTCGTGTCAATCAACCTATAGATCATGCAATCCTCTATATTCAATGTTCCCCAGAATGTAGTGTAATGATCCGTTAATATTTTCTATTATTAGGAAGGATTTATGTCCAGTGAGTTACTTTCTGAATGTGTTATATCGCACTGCTGGCGAAATATTGAATACTATCGAAGAAGGTTATTGCTGCAAAGCAAAGAATCATCCTGACCGGTATGGATCGTGTTATGATGAAGATCTTGTATCATCTTTTGACCAAGAAGGATGGGCAAACTGTTCCAAGGCTTATTACATCACTGGTCTTCATCGTGTATCTGGTCACATGGCCAGAAAATTCGGACATAGTTAACATTCTACTTCCGCCTAAATTTGCATATGGTGTCAAAATAAAGCTTCGTGAGTTTATAGTAAACTGTAATGTGCACAGTACTAAACGCTAAAAATACACCTTTAGGTAGGTCGATTATAATTTGCCTTAATTGCTCGTTGCAGAGCAAGTTAATCTTAATATTTTTATATAGTATTTCAAAATGTTTTATCAATATTCGTTCTGCATTTTCAAAACAAAGTTTTGGTCATTTATCACGTTGAATACCATATAAAACGAAAACTGTAATAGCGTAGAAATAAAATAAAAATGCAGAGCCGACATAAACCTTTGCCAGCAAAATATTACCTCAGGATCTTCAATATGACACGAGTTACAAGAAACAACCAGGGCAAATAGCAAAGATGCAATGATTTTCTTAAATTTTGCAAAATTTAAGAATGCGCAATATAATTTATAGTTCTGCAAACGAATAATATTTGAACAGATATGCAAATTTGCTACGGCAATCTGCATATTCCATGTCCGCAATTTCTGGCCATGAATGGCTGAACAACATCGATAAATTTCGATGCTGTCTTTAATTATTGTTTGTATATAAGCGCCAAACTTGCTGGAAACTTTACATATAGGACAAGCATTTGACCATTAAAACAGCGTGGTTATCCATTTCAAAATATTTGACATCATGTATAACCAAAGCATGGTTATTTTGTTTAATGTTTGTATATGAGCGCCAAACATGCTGGAAACTTTACATAGGACCGAAGCATTTGACGTTTAAAACAGCGTGGTTATCCATGTTAAAATATTTGACATCATAACCAAAGCATGGTTATATTGTTTATTGTTTGTATATGAGCGCAAAACATGCTGGAAACTTTACATAGGACAAGCATTTGACCATTAAAACAGCGTGGTTATCCATGTCAAAATATTTGACATCATAACCAAAGCATGGTTATTTTGTTTAATGTTTGTATATGAGCGCCAAACATTCTGGAAACGTTACATAGGACCGAAGCATTTGACCATTAAAACAGCGTGGTTATCCATGTCAAAATATTTGACATCATAACCAAAGCATGGTCATTGTTTAATGTTTGTATACGAGCGCCAAACATGCTGGAAACGTTACATAGGACCGAAGCATTTTACCATAAAAACAGCGTTGTTATCTATGTCAAAATATTTGACATCATAACCAAAGCATGGTTACATTGTTTAATATTTGTATATGCAGCTGCATGAGGTAACGAGATGGGTTGACTTGTGCCTCTCAAATTGGGAAATTGTTCCATATCATGCATACAGGACTATCAATGAATGATTTGCCGGTTGCCAGACCCCGATATTTTTGCGCGGTTAGCGCAATGAATCTTTGGATCGCTAGGGGGCAAATATCTCTTCGTAATATATTCGAAACGTAAAAGACATAGCTTTTGTGGGTAGAAAATTTGCATTTTAAGAGTTCATTATAATTACAAATGAATTCATACGCATTACCACTTGGTAGAAAAGAGTTGGCTGTCCGTGGAGACGGGAATTGTTTTCATAGAGCGATAGCTTTGGCGATAGACGGCGAGAGTGACAAGGATTTTGCAAATGTTCGAGTCATGTGCAACAAGCTATTGTTAGAACGCCCGAACACGTTTAAACCATATTTGTTTAGCCATACCACTATGGATAATCACTTAGATAGAAGCCTTGAATCAGGAACATGGGGTGAAACAGTCGATATCTTTGCTTGTGCGACGGCGTTACAACGGCCTATTTGTGTGTACTCGATGATGAGTCAGAAATGGTCTCGTTTTGAACCTCGCATGGCACTGCCTCCGGTTTTAAATATGAAAACAACGTGTGACTGCCCTGTGACATTAGTTTTGCACGACTTTCATCGGGCATGTTGTCATTTTAACCTTTTACAGCCCGATGATACATGTTGTTCTGCTCCAAAGCCAGAAAACATTCCCAAACCACCATTATATGTGGACTTAGAGGGTGACACAAAAGCCCCTGTTGCATCGACACCACCCCCTTTCAGAGAAGCTGCTAAAAATCCTTCAAAGATTTCAAACAGGAAATGTCGACCTATCCATTCAACTGCAAGAACCAAAAATAAAGATAAGAAGGTGATAAAAGTTGAAAAAATAAGCACTCCAAAGCCAAAGAGCACAAATGATAATTATGTGTTGAATAAGAACATGGAAAATAAACACACCCTAAAAGACAATGGTAAACAAGTGGGCAAAGGGACTTTTCAACATAAAAATAAAAAAACAGGCAATACTTCTAACAATGAAAATGTGGATTCTGTGTCAAAAAATAGCAATGAATCTAAATTTAACAATTGGACAGTAAATATGTTAAAGGACTTCATTAGTCAGCGTGGCGTACCCACCAGCAATTATAAGAAAGCAGAACTTATTAAGTTGGCAACTGTTGCAGAAGAAGTGAAGTTACCAGTCGACCCAGACTTTGCAAATGACTCCCTTGAGAAATGCCTTGAGGAACGTTTGACACTTCCAGCTGGTAAACAGATACCCAATCCATTCACAATGACACATCTTTCAAAGGATATGTCCATTCTACCAAATTTTGGTCTTTTGGATATATTTAACCATTTGATTGTCAGCAAGACAGAATATGACAAAGAAATGCTAGCATCCTGGCGGACATTTGATGAATATAAACTTCACCAAGATGGGCATGTTAGAGATTTAAACCGAGTAAAGGTATATGATAATGATGACACTCCCTATCATGTACTTATCGCCAATGTCTTGCAAACACACAGAGAGAAAACCCCAGAAGGTAGGGCAGCTTATAGACTATGGTTTATCCTAGGTGAAAATGCATCTATTTTTTCTGCATTTTGTGAATGCAAAGGAGGCTCTGATCAAGGTTGCAAGCATTTGGGAGCAGCCTTGTTCGAGCTTGAGGAGTTTCTGTCTAGCGAACGAACATCTGTGACATCTCTTCCAGCTTACTGGTATCCAAAACCTAAACCAGAAAACAAGCCACTCCCCTTACTGGAAACTGAAACTCTCTCATTCAATGAAATTTGATAGAAAAAGAAAATATGTACCAGTTGATGAGTCATGGATCGATTCATTTGACCCACTGCCTAACCGACTTAGATCCACTGTAACTGAAAAAGAAAAAGCTGATTTTGCTAGAAAACTAATGGATATTGACAATGAGTCAGCAGTTTTGGATTTCTTACCAGGATCTTCGAAAGCAAAGACTGATAAGAAGAAAAATACTTTTTATTTAAATCAATTTAAAATACTTACTAGGGCTGTAGAATCGGGATACTTGATTAGATTTATTTGTATTAGATTAAAGTCACGTGAAAACTTATCACGAGGCTGTCGTTTGAAGTGTGTTCTTTCGTTTTGTATCGTTTGTGTATTTTGTATTAAAGCGATTGTAGAAAAGCTAAAGATTTGTGTGAGTTATTACATATCAGCGAAGGGGACATTACATTGGCGACGAGGATGGAAGTTCGTCTAACATTATAGCCGTGAATTTGGCAAGATTACCAATCGGGAGTGTAGTATTTAGCGAAAATATTTGAAATGTCTGTCGCGGACGAAGATGGCGCAGGACATAACGGCAATCCGGCAGGCGCTCAAGCAAGTTTATTGACAAGCGACGTCAAAGGGCTTCCTTGCTTTAACCCCAGGGAAGACCCAACGAATTTGGCTGTGAGATGGAAGCGCTGGAAGCGGTCATTTAATGTGTTTTTAACGGCAAAGGGAGTAATAAATGACAAACAGAAAGTGGCATTACTTCTGCCTACGGGGGGGTTGCAGTTGCAAGAACTATATTTTACGTTAGTAAACGAAGACGAAGAGAAAGAGTTTAAGGATTGCGTCAAGGTCTTGGATGAGTATTTCGTCCCTAAAGTGAATCTACCGTTTGAGAGACACCAGTTTCGTCAAATGAGTCAGATGAACGGCGAGAAAGTGGATCATTTTGTTTCTCGTCTTAGGCAAAAAGCTACTACGTGCGAATTTCAGAACGTGGAAGAAGCAATTCGAGACCAACTAATTGAGAAATGTGGCGACTCAAAGCTTAGACGGAAGTTTCTTGAACGCGTTAATGCAACACTCAAGGATTTACAAGATATTGCGCGGGCATATGAGGCGGTAGAAGAGCAGTTGAAATCAATGGAAGGTTCGAATACAGTAAACGTTGTGAGTCATAAATCGCGTTGGAGCGGACGAAAAGAGAAAAAGGTCAACACAGATCAGAAAGAGCGCAGATACTCAGCCAAGGGGACTGGGCACGACAACAAGGATAACGTACGACGATGTTACAACTGTAATAAAACTGGGCACTTTGCTCGAGACGCAAATTGTCCAGCAAAGTCCAAGAGCTGCAATAAATGCGGAATCATAGGTCACTTCTCAGCTTGCTGCAAAAAAGCAGGGGAGAAGCACAACAAGGAGAAAGAAAAAAAGGAGGAGAAAAGAGCATATAAAGTCTCTGAGGAAGAAGGAAAAACACCAACAAGAGATGACTATGCCTTTGTTATTGGTGGGCATGGACAAAAAGATATGGGTCAGGTGGATCTAATTATTGGAGGAGTGAAACTAGAAAGTATTTTAATTGACTCAGGTGCAACATGTAATGTAATTGATTGTGAACTCTGGAACTATCTTAAAAGAAAACATGTTAGGTGCGAGTCAAGGGTATCAGACAAGAAACTGTTTGCGTATGGACAGAAAGAGCCAATCGACGTTGTAGGGACATTTACAGCAGAGATTGTGTGCGAGGCAAACAGTGAAAGATGTGTAGACGATTTCACTGTGATTAAAGAGAACGGAAGGCCTATATTGGGGAAGAAAACAGCCGAACAATTGAAAGTACTCAGGGTTGGACCTGAAGAAATAATAAGAACTGTTAACACGGTCACACAAGAGGGAAGTGATTCAGATATTCGTGAGGAGTTTGCTGATATTTTTACTGGAGTCGGACTACTTAAGGATTACAAGCTGAAACTGCATATCGATGAGGATGTTATACCAGTTGCTCAGCCGGTGCGTAGACTGCCATTCGGTCTAAGGGACAAAGTAGACGATAAGTTAGACGAGTTACTCGACATGGGTATTATCGAAGAATTGCCAGAAGCAACACCTACAAGGTGGGTTTCACCATTAGTGGTTGTTCCAAAAGCAGATGGAAAGGATATTCGAGTTTGTATCGATATGAGAAGGGCAAACGAGGCGATTAAGGGAAAGACATCCTATTCCGACCATAGAAGAAGTTTTGTATGATTTAAATGGAGCAACGGTATTTAGTAAGATAGACCTCAAATGGGGGTTTCATCAAGTGGAACTCACAGAGGATTCAAGGGACATTACGACGTTCGTGACACACCGGGGGTTATATAGATATCGTCGACTGATGTTCGGAATTACTTCAGCTCCAGAGAAGTACCAGAAAATAATCTCAGATGTTTTGGCAGGGTGCAATGGGGTGGCAAATATTGCGGATGATCTTATTGTTTACGGGGCTGATTTATCCGAGCATGATGAGAATCTTTATAAAGTACTAACACGTCTGCGAGAGAAAGGTCTTACCGTAAATGGGGACAAATGTCAGTTTAGACTTCCGGCCTTGACCTTTTTTGGCCACAAGCTCAGTGCCAAAGGGGTGGCACCAAGTGAAGAGAAAGTTGCTGCTGTAGTCAACGCTAGACCACCGCAAAATGTTTCGGAAGTTAGGTCGTTCGTACAGTTAGTACAGTATTCGGCAAAGTTTATCCCGGACTTTGCGCAGATTGCAGAGCCGTTGCGTCGTGTACTAAGAAAGGGACAGTCGTTCGTTTGGGGGTCAGAGCAACAGCAGGCGTTTGAGAAGCTGAAATGGATGATGACTAGGGCTGAAGCCCTGGCTTATTTTAGAAACGACTGCAAAACGAGAATCGTCGCGGATGCAGGGCCGGAGGGAATTGGAGCTGTGTTGCTACAACTGCAAGGAGACCAGTGGAGAGCGGTGTCGTATGCCTCCAGGAACCTCTCGGACGTAGAGCGGCGATACGCCCAAACAGAGAAGGAAGCACTTGCACTCGTGTGGGCTTGCGAGCGGTTTAATATATATGTGTATGGTCGTGAATTCGAACTGGAAACTGACCATAAGCCACTAGAGTGTATTTTCAACAAGACATCGAAACCCTCAGCAAGGATCGAAAGATGGGTATTACGGCTTCAGTGCCACAACTTCAAGGTCGTTTACCGGCCTGGAAAGACGAACATTGCCGATGCTTTGTCTAGAATGAACCAGAAGAGTCCAAAAGACCACAGCAGCGAGAAAGAGGACGTCATCCGTTTCGTTGCCATACAAGCGACACCCGTGGCCTTAACGACTAAAGAAATAGAGAGAGCGTCAGAAATCGACGCTGAATTACAAAGTGTGCGATACTATATCGAATCGGGAGATTGGACTAAATGTAAACTGTCGGCATATGCGTGTGTAAAGAATGAGCTCTGCATGATTGGTAGACTTGTTTTACGGGGGAATCGAATCGTTATTCCTCAGATGTTGCGAAGAAAGGTTTTGGAAGCGGCACATGAAGGCCATCAAGGAATTGTAAAGACGAAAAGCAGATTAAGAACGAAAGTATGGTGGCCCAAGATGGACATAGATGCTGAACGAGTGTGTAAATCGTGTCATGGATGTCAAGTAGTCAGCCAGTATAATGTACCGGAACCCATGAAACGGACCGAGATGCCTACAGGCCCATGGCAAGATGTCGCAGTAGACTTTGATGGGGCCAATGCCAACCGGAGAATACTTGCTGGTAGTCGTGGATTACTATAGTCGATACTACGAAGTTTCCATTATGCACTCAACAACTTCAGAAAAGATTATCAAAGCGCTAAACGAAATTTTTGCTAGATTTGGTTTTCCTTACTCGTTGAAATCAGACAACGGGAGACAGTTTGTTAGTGAGGAGTTCAAGAGGTTTTTACAACAAGTGAATATTGAACACAGAACGTCACCACCACTTTGGCCACAAGCTAACGGTGAAGTGGAGCGCCAAAATCGCACTCTTCTCAAGGCACTAAAAGTGGCCCAAGTTGAAGGCAAGGATTGGAGAAAGGAGTTACCACAATTCCTTCTTGCGTATAGAACAACACCGCAAGTCACAACTGGAAAAACACCAGCGTTCCTTATGTTCAAACGTGAACTGAGAAGTAAACTTCCAGAACTTAGGGGAGATATAGACGACTTTGATGAGAACATAAGGGATCGCGATTGGCGAAACAAGCTAGTACAAAAAGCTAATGCAGATGAAAAAAGGAGGGCAAATGATAGCACTATTCTACCAGGAGACCAAGTACTACTACGGAACACTAAAACGTCAGGGAAGTTAGCTGCCAACTACGAAAAGGAGCCGTATACGGTGGTCACGAAGGAGGGGAACGAAGTGATGGTAGAGGCGGACGATGGCTCGATCTTTAGGAGAGACAGTTCATTTGTAAAACCATATAATAATCCAGTGGAGACAGCTACGGAAAGCGAGTCCCAACAACAGCCGCAACCGGATAGCGAAACGGTTATCACCAATAGACTTAAGCGGGAGATTAGATTACCCGAGCGATTCAATGATTTTATCATGGACAAACCAAAGTGATACAAATATATTACGAAACAGTATGAACACGATAGTTCGTGTAGTTGAAGTTATGATTGGTTGTTCGAACACTAAATTGACTGGAAAGGAAGGGATGTAGAATCGGGATACTTGATTAGATTTATTTGTATTAGATTAAAGTCACGTGACAACTTATCACGAGGCTGTCGTTTGAAGTGTGTTCTTTCGTTTTGTATCGTTTGTGTATTTTGTATTAAAGCGATTGTAGAAAAGCTAAAGATTTGTGTGAGTTATTACATATCAGCGAAGGGGACATTACAAGGGCTAAAATATTTGTTCGGAAAAACAAGCGTTTAATTGGTAAAGATGTTAATGCTTCCTGCAAAATGTTTGTATCTTCACTGACATGTACCAAGGCTGACCAGACTTTTATAAATGCAGCAACTGTTGGACAAGCTAACAACAATGAGTGGCATAAATTGAGACATCTTATGGTAACTGGTACAAAAGTAAAAGGTCTTTATACGAGACAAAAAACCATTGAACGCAACCCTTCCACTGACATTAGTAAAACAATAAACAACTTCTTGCAAGAAAATCCAATCCATGTTGAAACTCAGGCTACTCAATATGGACATGATCATGAGAAAGAAGCACTCTTTTTGTATAGTAAATTTTGTGAATGAAGGCACAAAAACCTACAAATTCAAGAGACTGGGCTATTAGTAGACACTTCAAATGCATGGTTGGGGGCAAGTCTTGATGGCATTCGAATTTGTAAATGTTGTGGGTCAAGAACAATAGAAATTAAATGCCCATATAAACATAGACAATTGGATCCAAAGTCAGCTTTTCTTACTAAAGAAATAGGTGGCATTGTAAACAACAGTGGCAAGCAAGAACTTTCTAGGAACCACAGTTATTACTTTCAGGTTCAGATGGGCATGGCATTAGCTCATATGCCTGTTTGTGATTTTATTGTTTATACGTCTAAAGGAATTGAAGTGGTAGAAATTCACTTTGATGAAGACTTTTGGAGAACTGTCTTGAGTGTAATTTCATTATTTTACACAAACCAAATTGTAAAAAACCTTCTATTAAAACTCTAAAAGTTTGTTTATTGGAGTTCTTGATATAGTAAAATAACAATATAGTACACATCTACACAATGGCAAAGCCAGCCTGATGAGTCTGTTTTGTCATGATATACCAAGTTTAAATAATTATAATTTTTCATTGTTTTCAATGTGAATGAACATAGAAATATTTGTATGCCATGATTACATCATCAGACTATCTTTGGCACCATGCCATATGGATTAACATCATTGTTAAGCTCCTTGGTTTACCCCTAGTAAAATACATCTTAATCCCCATATAATCTAAGTAAATGTCATTTTATTGGTCGTTTATTCAAATTACATAAAGCAGCGCATAAGAACAAAATGTTGTCTAATGCAGGCTTCATGGTTAATGGAATAACTCCAGATAAAATTCTAAATTGTTTCAATCTTAATATCATCCGTTCAACATGAGATCTCAAGGAAGCTACTCTTCGAGTGTGGGTTGTTCCTCGAGAAGACAGCCTAGGCCCACGACAATATGCTGGGGAAATCAGTTTGACTTTCTTCATTAGCATTAAATCTCGTACCAAAAATCCTTTGTCAGCCATGACAGCATCACCTTCCTCTAGTAGGTTAACCAAGCCAGAGTTTTTGACTATCTCTTTGTCTGATACTGACCCTGTCCACAGAGGAGGAATGAAGGAAATAACACCAGTTGGTGTGATACCAATAAGAAGCTTAGCAGTGTTCCAGTGCTTGTAACTACTCCAGGTTATCTTTTGGCTCTCTGGAATTTTTGGCTTTTGAATGAAGAATTCAGCACAATCAATGATGATTCTTTAATTCTTAAACCTTTTGAATCGTTTTGGAAGTAATTACACTACGTAAAGCAAGGCTTAGGCCTGGTCTAGTCCACTACTGGGGTTCATATAACTTCGTCTATGCTTAATTTTAGTCTTTTGAGTCGGTCGAAAGATGTTCGTCTGGGGAGCGCGGTAGGCTCAGGCTATGTGCACATGGGCGTGGTTTTCATCTGCTTTCAAGATCGTTTTTATCTAGTTTATCGCTTTGAAGCTCGGTTAATATGATCAAAGGGAACTCGAAATATGCTCCAAATGTTAAGCGTTAATTTCTATTCCAAATTAACGGTGTTTGAAACCCTTTTGACGTAAAAGGGAAGATGTTACCGAGTGTAAATATTGTCGAGGTTTTTAAAATTGCCCGTTTCTAGTTTACGAATACGGGTAACGTACACAAATCCGTGCCCAGAGAATGGAAAAGCAATTTAATTAAAGAAACTCAAAATATTCCGACGTAATGAAACCAATCAGTTCGATCCGTCCGTTTGCTCGTGTTTACACACAGACGAACTAGAAGACCAGCGAAGTATCTTTTGCTTGCCCAAGTTCGTCCGGACGGATGATCCGTCTCTAGTAGTAGATCTCGGGCCCATTATTCTTGAAAATGGTCGAATCAAATGAATCTTTTATACCCTATAAAATACGCATTATTAAATAGATTTAACTTTAGGACTACAAGAAAATTCTGATTGTAATTTCTTTCCGGCCAATTGTGTGGAAAAGACACTTGTCAGCTATTCTGATACGAGAAAGGTTTAATACAGCAATATACTAAAAATGTTTAATGATTAACGAGTGTTCCATGTGGCAACTTCAACCTCGTGCGATTTCAAGCATGCAGCTTTGCCGTGTCGCCTGACAATCACCAATACTTTATAATATTTATTTATAATCTATCTGTGCTTAGTATATTATGGTTATGAACTTGTACTCTCACCGTCCCGTCGTAAAATGCACTAGAATGGCTAAGCCTTCTTATTCAGCACTCGTTGGAGAGTTTGATAATTTGCATTAGCTATATTGAAGTTTGATTAAGTTATGATTAAGCCAGGCGCACACGACGCGATTTTTGTCGTAGGATCGATTTTAGTTGGCAACATCAAACTGTTTTGATATATCAGATTGCTGTCAGCCGACTAAAGCCACCTAAAAATGACATCGCACACGCATAGATTTAGTCGGCCAACTAAAAATCAGATCATGTGCGCCTGGCTTTACCCCATGCAATTGAAATATTTCTCTTTATTTTGCTTGAGGATATTGTTTAGTAAATCAACTGTTGCTATCATGAGCAAAAAAGCTAGGAAGAACTTGTGTATTTTTGAATAATTTCATGACCCTTCCTGTTTATAAATCTATGTTTATGAGGCATCCAAAACGATGTTTGGATCTTTTTAAACGGAATCTCGTATGTATTATTTCCTGGGAATAGCGATGATTCATGGAAGCGTAATTTATGGCTGCACACAATACTCTGATCGCAATGAGGAGAAGTTCAACCATTATGGTAGGGTTCTAAAACTTTCAACATGATTTCATTATATCGTTTAAAATAATCGCTAGCATGTTCCAGATCATCTTTTTCAAAGCAAACTGCACCAAGATAGAGGTAGGAAACAAGAACATGCTCGCAATTTGGTCCTAGTTTCTCTAATTGAATATTTAGTGCCCGTTGAAGACAATCTCTGGCGTGATCCAGATCCCGTGTTGAGAAACACAAAAGACCCAGTTTCAATGATAATGAAGCAACGTCAACATGGTTTGGCTCCAATTGTTCCAACCGAATTTTCAGCGCTAGTTGATAATAATCAGTAGCTTGCTCCAAATCACCTTTATCCCTATAAATATTACCCAAGTTTTCGTATAAATCAGCAACATCTCTATGATTTGGCCCCAATTGTTCTAATCGAATTTTCAGGGCTAATTTATAATAATTATTAGCTTGCTGCAAATCTCCTTTCTTACGATACACAATACCCAGGTTGTTGTATAAGTCGGCAATTGTTATATGATTTGGCCCTAATTTTTCTAATTGAATTTTAAACGCTTGTTGAAAATAATCGTTAGCTTGCTCCAAATCACCTTCATTCTCACACACAAGGCGCCCCAAGTTGTTGTATGAATTGGCAACGTCAGCATGGTTTGGCCCCAACTGTTCTAACTGAATTTTCAGCGCTCGTTGATAATAATCACGAGCTTGCTCCAAATCACCTTTACCCTTACACACAAGCCCCAAGTTGTTGTATGAAGCAGCAACGTCAGCATGGTTTGGTCCCAATTGATCTATTTGAATTTCCAGTGCTCGTTGATAATAATTATCAGCTTGCTCAAAATCACCTTTAGCATAACACACAGTACCCAGGTTGTTGTATGAACTAGCAAGTTCAACATGGTTTGGCCCCAATTGTTCTAACCGAATTTTCCGCGTTTGTTGATAATAATAACTAGCTTGCTCCAAATCACCTTTATCTTTACACAAATTACCCAAGTTGCTGTATATGCCAGCAACGACATGATGATTTGGGCCTAAATATTCTAATTTAATTTTCAGCGCTCGTTGGTAATAATCACTAGCTTGCTTCAAATCACCTTTAACTTTACACACAACACCCAAGTTCATGTGTAAGGTAGCAACATCAATATGATTTGGCCCTAATAGTTCTAATAGAATTTTCAGGGCAGCTTGAAAATAATTATTAGCTTGCTCCAAATCACCTTCCTTAAGATATACACTAGCCTGGTTGGTGTATAAGTTAGCAAATTTTCTATCATTTGGCTCTAATTTTTCTAATAGAATTTTCTCCACTTGTTGATAATAATCTTTAGCTTGCTCCAAATCACCTTTATCACTACACACAACACCCAGATTTTGGTATGTAGTAGCAACATCAACATGGTTTGGCCCCAATTGTTCCAACAGAATATTCAGTGCTCGTTGATAATAATCTTTAGCTTGCTCAAAATTACCTTTAACTTTACACACATTACCAAAGGCGATGTACGAACTAGCAACGTCAAAAATTTTCTCTCCTGATTGTTCTAATATAATTTTCAGACCCTGCTGACAATAATCATAAGCTTGGTCCAGATCACCTTTATCACGATACACATTACCCAGACTGGTGTAGCAAAAGGCAACGTCAATATTCTTTGGTCCTAATTGCTGTAATGCAATTTTCAGTTTCTGCTGGAAAATTTTCAACGAGAAGTCAAACTCGAAAAAGTCGTGTAGAATTTCTCCAAAAAAAGAAAATATTTTCCGGATTTCAGTTTCATCAAATGCTGAGCTCATTGAGGATAGCCCTTCATTTGGAAACAATTTGTTAATTTCTGTGAATAATGATTTTAAATGTGAAATTATTTTAATCTTATCTTTCCTATCTTTGAAAGAATACAATGTTCTTGTAACGTCGTGAATTACTTTTCTTATATTTTGCGCTTCATTTGATATTTCATCTTTTGATGAATTGCCAATGTCAGTTTTTTTCGAAAGACAGAGCAATTTGATCACATCATGGACAACACGATGAAGACGGATGTCTCCCTCCTTATTTCCCACATGAACAAACAATGAGCAGTGTTTTATTGGAAGAATGATATCCTCGGCATCCAACTCTTCTTCTTCCTGCTGAACGTATTTCACAACAAGATCAAGTGGTAGTGGTTCAAAAGATATCAAAGAGAAAAGGTTGAATGCGTGTTCAAGAATTGTGTTTTCTTCCTGACATTTTGTAACAGCTAAAAGCACAGCTGCACTCATGGTGGAAGAATATGCTGCTGAATTTGTCTGCTTCAGACGTTTTTCGGTGAATTCTCTTTTCCCTCTTTTAAGCTTTTCTAAATAATCTGGCCATGAAAAATCTGAAGGAATCTCGTTGACTTGTCTCATATACACGGCTGCAGCGGCTAATGCCAACGGTTGACGATCTAACTTCTCTGCCACCTCATATAGTAATGGATCATTGACGTCTGTTCTTGATAACAGGGCAAGAAGCTCGCGACACTCTTGGTCAGTCATACCGAGACAAAGTGAAATATGTTTACTTGACAGGCTGTCGGAAGGAACTGCATTTGTGTTTTGTGTCGTCACTATGATTTGGCCGTTATTCCAAACATCGCCGCCCATCAGAGGCAGTAGTGGGGCAATGAACTCGAGATTTTCAACGTTGTCGACGATAATCCACCACTGCTTCCAATTCTTAATTCTGTTGGATATTTGTAATCTTAAATCTTTAATTTTCTCATCTTTTGCTTTAGAAGAGCTCGAAAGATTTTGTAATACGCTTTCGTTGCAATTTAGCTTACGACAAAAATCTTCATATGAATATAAAAGAGAATCTAAATCTTTTCCGTTCAATGTCATTACAAACATTGCTTCGTCCTTCACATGAGCATCTTCGCAAATATCTTCACAAACTTTTCTGGCGAGTTGAGATTTTCCACTTCCGGGATTCCCAGAGATGTAAAAATATGTAAGTTTGCCGTCGTTATCGCTGCGCAACTTTTCAAGATCCTCTCTTATCTCGTGTATCTTGTCAGAACGAGACACGACTTCATGAGATGGCTTGGGAGGTAGAATTTGGAAGGATTTATAGAGGTTTTTAATTCGAACGACTTCGTTGCTTGACAGTCCTAATGCATTCAATGCATTTATAACGTCTGTTGTCTTGTTTTGAAAGTCGGCATCATCCAGCGTTTTTTCAGGTTTATGAGTTATTTCATTTCGTAGTTTTCTCAGATTATCGATTTCAGTTTTTTGCGTTGGATTAAGGCTTACACCAATCGATTTGGAAAAAAGAATTGCACCAAAGAGTGCAGTACAATCCCAATAATTTGTATCTCCATGCTTAAATTTGGACTGAAGCATTGGTTTAATTCCTCTTGCTCCTGATTTCTCGAGATTAAACAACTGACTACCGCTTACGTTTGTGTCATCCCATGCTCCACGAGAAGCCTGGTAACGTTTGTTCCATTCCTGAATAAAGAAATTCCTTAATTCCTTCCTCACAAAATCACTGACAATGTAGTCTGCTCGAATGTAGTTTTGTCTTTCCTCGCTTTCCCATGGTATACCGGACATTCTTGGGCGCTAAAAATTAAAGAACGTTTTTAAATGCGATTCAGGCTAAAAATCAGTTGTATACTATATATGGTTGATTAATGAATTGAGAGTTTCGCAAGTTCCTTTTCGGCTACAATATTGCGTTGAATAAAAATAATGAATAATATCAATTTAAAAAACTTGTCTGTAACGGAAGATAGACACGAGCAATGTCTCAATAAAAGAGAGAAAGTCAACAGATGACAAAAATGATTGTGATGAGACAGACAATTATCCTGAAGCATGAATTTCAACATACGCCATTTTCTTATAGTTTTGTGAAGTACTCACCAATGTGATGATATATTCTTTACTTTTTAAAACTCATATTCTAAAAACGAATGATCAATCACAACATGAAATTTATACCACGCTGCATGATTATGCGGTCTACTGGTATTGTTGTTGTGTGAAAGATAATCGTTATTTTTGTTACGAAATGCGAATATATAATCTAATTTAGCATTGTTAAGAAATAGAAGGTCAATATAGATGAGGAAATTACTTGGGGAACATGTCACATAAAATGAAGTGTAAAGTAAATATTATTATGACCCTTCGGAATCACAAAATTACTTTTCCTGTCATAAGGTGACAGCCCATGGGATTTCCTCCAAAACAATAGTATGTCGTACAAAGTACAAGTATCACGACTCAAGAACATAAGTTCTAGGCGGATACTAGTTTATGTCAATCATGTCTTTGTTATATTTTGCTCGGTTAAGCACTTGAAGCCTTACGTCACTAAAAGCTTAATTCGATGAAATTATTTGTAAAATAGTTTATAAGTTGAGATACGGTTCACAGAGTAATAAGTTGATAATTGTACTTTAAGTTGATGATAAATATTTTAAGTTGTGAACAAGTTTTAACAGTGATCGATTAAGTAAAAGACCAACTTGACTAGTGCGTCACCGGCCTTAAGTAAACAAAGTATGAGAGATGGACCGAGCTTCTAACGCCAACCCACACTTACAACCTACAACGCTGATTGGATTGTGTGAATCAAACCACCTTGCACAGGGCGTCTTCTAGATCCCCTCAAATTTTATTATAAATTAAAGGAGGCGCACAGCAACAGAACATTCAGTGGACTAGCGGAGTAAAAAAAGTACATGAAACGCTGGAGAAGCTCAACCTGACAGAACAGACAGCCAAGACGAGAACAGAAAACAACGAGGTCCGAAAGGACGAATAATCCGAAGAGAAGAGAAGAACGAGAAAGAAGAGAACATTAGTGAACTTTAGTAAAAGCTTGAAAAGATCTCCTACCTCGCGCATATAGAAAAAAAGCCATCTAACAATTTGGTGGAGGATCGGCGTTTTCACAAACTCAATCAGTCCGCCAAATATTCAGAAGAATTTAGAACAATCGTCATTTCGAACATTGGTTAGAAACGAGTGCTTAAACAGCGAGATGACTGGGCCGAACGAAACGCTATTCTTCTATTCATCAATACTTCTACTGACGGCAATGCTAGAGCTTGTCTCATATTTTAGTTGCCGGCCTAAAACAAATGGTCACAACCCAGTGTACAGCTCCTTTGAACAAGGATTGGAAACATGGTCCACCGAGAGGTGAATACGAAGCAGACGAATACGACCGTGCCTACCCGCTCCTTAATGTTATGAATCAGGCTGATATCCAGCGAAAGACGCACCAGTGGAAGCCTCCGTGGTTATGCAACGGCTACTGAGACGCGGCAGAAAAATCTCAGAGTTCCCCGGATCCTTCCTGATGGTTAGAACGCTTGTACATGGACATGAAATTGGACGAATTTTAAGATTTGTATAATATATATCAGCTTTTGTTATTGTCATGTTACACGTATATGTTTGTAATTTGTCTGTTTATGTTCCATAATATCAAACACGAGAGTATAGCTGTTCAACTAAAATTTCTTAGGTACACTCAGCATGCTGATTAAACATGTTGCCGTAGGATAGCGCATGCATGTTTTTAATTGGGTCAGTATATAAATTTAATTCTGACGCCTCTATTTGTGCGTCATTCGTCGATCATACATTTTTCTCTTCCCCCGGGACAGTCAAGGGTCTCCCAAACTTGTTGTAATGGATTATAATTCTTTTTCAAGCCAAAAGCTTAAATATTAGACACATTCTTGTTTTCTCTATGTAGACTCGGTATTTATATTTTCGATGAAAACCTACATTTTGGAGTTTGGTTTGCTGTGCATGACGATTAAAAATAAATGAAATGAGTTCAGTAATATTAAGAATTATACGTATAAAATTTGTTTGCATGAGTTGAAATATTTTGAAGAATTATTAAGAAGACGTATAAATAGGTTTAGGTTATTATTATGGAGAGATGTTTTGTCGGAAGAGCTTTATAATAATTTCCTGTTATGTGAGTTGATCAACCAAGAATCTGAATACAATTTTCGCTGTTGCAATGATAAGATATTTTATGAAATTTGAATAATTTTGGGTACACTTTCTGATTGCATCTACAAAATTTGAAATTTCGCTTAAGTCCCTGGTACATACATTCAGGAAAACAGGCAATTTCTACACCTTGTTTTCACACTGATTTTGGTTTCAATCGCTATATTCTCACGTGTTGGATATATAACTGTAGATTACCCCTGAGGTACATATAGGCATAAGTATAAAATTATATCATAGATTATGGTATCTTGTATAATCAATTATGTAGTGTTGTCGTAGATTAACAACACGTACTATATGTATGGTCTCAGTTATTAGGCATTTGGTAATATGCCCGTGATAGCCACGCCGAGCTCAAAAATTAAAATAGTTGGGAATTTGTAGACATATACATACACATATGTATGATACTTAGTTAACTAAAGTTCTTATCTTCACTCGAAGCTGAGGACAGCTTATTCTAGGTGAGGAGGATTGTTACGAAATGCGAATATATAATCTAATTTAGCATTGTTAAGAAATAGAAGGTCAATATATATAGATGAGGAAATTACTTGGGGAACATGTCACATAAAATGAAGTGTAAAGTAAATATTATTATGACCCTTCGGAATCACAAAATTACTTTTCCTGTCATAAGGTGACAGCCCATGGGATTTCCTCCAAAACAATAGTATGTCGTACAAAGTACAAGTATCACGACTCAAGAACATAAGTTCTAGGCGGATACTAGTTTATGTCAATCATGTCTTTGTTATATTTTGCTCGGTTAAGCACTTGAAGCCTTACGTCACTAAAAGCTTAATTCGATGAAATTATTTGTAAAATAGTTTATAAGTTGAGATACGGTTCACAGAGTAATAAGTTGATAATTGTACTTTAAGTTGATGATAAATATTTTAAGTTGTGAACAAGTTTTAACAGTGATCGATTAAGTAAAAGACCAACTTGACTAGTGCGTCACCGGCCTTAAGTAAACAAAGTATGAGAGATGGACCGAGCTTCTAACGCCAACCCACACTTACAACCTACAACGCTGATTGGATTGTGTGAATCAAACCACCTTGCACAGGGCGTCTTCTAGATCCCCTCAAATTTTATTATAAATTAAAGGAGGCGCACAGCAACAGAACATTCAGTGGACTAGCGGAGTAAAAAAGGTATATGAAACGTTGGAGAAGCTCAACGACAGAACTGACGAAGAAGACAAGAACATTTAACGACGATCAAGATCGAAGATAGAAAAAGAAGAGAACAGTAACGAACTTTAGTTGAATTATTGTAACGATCCACTACCTCGCGCAGAAATAAAAACCATCTAACATTTTTAAAGGATTTACTAAGCAAGTATGCAGTTTTCACCACTCATTTTTATTACGCAATTATAATTGTTATTTTTTAGTTCGAAAAAAGATCAAATTGCCGAAACCTCTCTCACTCTTCTTAGTTCGAGTAACTTGCCTTATAACGGCTTAATTAAAAAGGGAATTTCCGTTTTGGTTTCTGTGTTGCATTCAAAGGAAATGAGATGTTATAAAATCAATTCAACAAACTTGTGTGTAACAGAAGTTAGACACGACCAATGTGTAAATATAAGAGAGAAAATAAACTGAAGACAAAACTCATCGTGATTCGGCTGACAATTATTCTGAAGCATGAATTTCAACATACGCGATGTATTGGCTATTGCGTGTGCGGTAAATAGTTTGATTTTATACGTTTCTTCTGATCGTCATATCTTAAAGAAACATGCGTCAAAAACTAATAAAACAATTGCAAGCTCTCATAGGTTTATGAAGTACTCACCAACTTGATGATATAATTATATTATTCACTTTTTTACTCGTATTCTAAACGATAAAGAAAGATGAATTGTAACATGAAATTTATATCATGCTGATTATGCGGTCTACTGGTCTTGTTGTTGTGTGCAAGATAATGGTTGTTTTAAAATATTTATACCAAGCGAATGTGTAGTTTTCACCATTCGTTTATTTCATGTTATGTGAGTGTAATGGGTAAGCATTACATTTAGGAAAAAAGAGGACTGATCCAAAGTGAATAAAATTGTCTCACACTCACACAATTAGTGAATGATGTGACAACTCTGCTCTTACAATGACGTAATTTACATGTTCACTCAAGCCATGCATTCTACAAATAACAAGTTTTGAAACAAATGTTATCATCATTTGTGTATCTCAAAACATTTAGGGGCTGTTTACATGAGCCCGGTTACCCGAGATTCAACGAAGCGTGAGATGATGTTGAGGTATTGAAATGAGCAGATGACATTGTCCTGGCAGTCGTATAATCACCATAACAATAGCATGTGTTTGTTTTGTGTCATAAAGACTTATTTCAATACCTCAAAGTCCTCTCACGCTTCGTTGAATCTCGGGTAACCGGGCTCATGTAAACAGCCCCTTAGGCGTTATTTCTTGCGATCGTTTTACGCAATGTTGTGAAACACGTACTATGTGAAATAAAGAAAATATTGCAGATATGGTTGTGTTTTCATTTGACAATCTAAATCTGCCATCACCAACAAAACGAAACGAATATCAGTTCGCCCTCTAATCCACAAATCTATTTATTTATACACAAAGCTTCTCGTTTGGTAATGAGTTTTAGTAAGTTGACTGAAATCATGTTATAGTAACTACTTAAAGTAATCGAGGTTTGAGCCAAGTTCCACAAATAACAATTTTTAAAAGAAACGTTGTACCATCATCCGTCAAATATGCATCTTAAAACAAGCGTCATTGTATATCTGTTGTACATTTCATTTGGGCTCAGCACGACTCTGTTTGAGATTTGGATTGAAAATCACTGATAATCAGATCTTGTACCCGAAATTCCGGTCAAATATTTAAAATGAAAAACATACACATTCT